TAAAAATAAATTTGTAATGTTATGATTGAATAAGAATGAATAAATAATTTTACATGATTTTGAAATATCATTATTATTATAATTTTTAATTTACATTAAACAATTATTTATTATTTAGTGACAATGATTATACATTTATTCATAGATTATTAATTGTAATGAATGATGATAATATTATTAACTAATCAAAATAAAAGAATGAAATATGATTAAATTATTTTATCTTCAATAAACAAAAATAAATATTAACACCATTGATATTTTATCATATTAAATATTTTAATAATTCAAACATTAATTATTTCTTTTATTATGTTATTTAATGTAATTTTATCATTTTATTCATTCTTTATTCATTTTATTCTTTTTATTGTGTATTTATAATAATTATATCATTTCTATTCTCTTTTATTTCTTATTTTTATTTTATTATCACATTTTTGTTTATCATTTATTATCTTTATTAATTTAATTGTTAGAGTTAATTGTTGGTAAAACATGAAAATTCAAATCGCAAAAGATGAAATATTAAAATAAAACATAATTGAATCTTCTTCTCTTCAACTTTTTTCTTATTTTTAACAAAATGAAAATATACTAAAAATAAGCTAATTATAGAAAATAATAATATTATAATTTTATTATTATTATATTATTATTATTATATAATTATTGTTATTGTAAAATAAATATAAAAAATGATGTTTGATAAAAGAAAATGATGTTAAAATAATGATTGACTTGATGTGTTAATAATGTGTATTAACTATTTAAACATCCATATTTTGAACTTATAAACATCAAATTAAATTAAAATGGAAGAGTTAATAAATAAGAATAATCAATTAATTAAAGAAGTAGTAGAAACACTTACAAACATTCAACAATCAATTGATGATACTACTAAGAATTATCAATATTATATAGGAAGTATTAAAAATGAAGTATTTGAAATAAAAGAGAATGAAACATACTCAGAAGCAATTAAAAGAGGAGAAGGAATATTTGATAGAATGGATGAAACAGAAAGAAGAAGAAAAATAGTGATAGAGAAAAGCCAAGAAACAATCAATCAAATAGAAATAATAATGAATATAATGTCGAGAATCATACAAGAATGTAATTCAGATGAAGAAGCATTAGGTAAAACACGGAATGAACTAATAGATAAAATCATTTCAATTGAAGAAATGATAATGAAAAACAAAATATTCAGAGAAACAGATGAAATAACACAAAAATTTGATAAAAAGAAAGAAGAATGGCAAACATATTACATTGATTATTTCTCAAGGAAGAAGATAAAAGAAGAAGATGAAGCAAAAGAAAGAAAGAAACAAGAAGAAGAGAGATTTCAAAGAATGAGAGGACTGTCAATACCAAAACAACAAATTGAACAAATAGAAGAATGGACAAATAGAAAAGTATTCAATATACTATTTGATTCAGATATTGATAATTGGAATGAATATACATCAGTATTTGATCAAAAAATAATGAATAAAGAAAATATAATAATTATTATTGAAGATGAAGATGGAAATAAATTTGGAGGATATGTTAATTCTAAAGTTGATAAAGTTGATAGTTGGATATATGATTCAAAGTCATTTGTATTTTCATTAGAATCAAATGGAAGAATTGAAGGAATGAAGAAATTTGATATTATTAAAGACCAACAACATGCATTTTGGTTATGTAGTCAATCAAGTGATCGTTTGTTTAAATTTGAATCATATGATATTTATCTTTATAAAGAAAATAATAAAACATATTCATATTGTAAACAATCTTCATTTGAATATGAAGGAATATCAAATGCACTTTGTGGAAAATATCATTTCACACCAAAACAAATCATAGCAATTGAAATGAAATGATTCAATCTTGAATAATTGAAAATGAACTAAAAAAGAATAAAAACAAAACAATGAAGAATATGAACATTTTGTTCATCTGCCAATGAATGAAATGATAAATTAAAAATGGAGATAATTCAATGTTGATTTATTTTATTTCATTTGAAATTTTTCACACCCAATGATGATGTTTTTAATAAATAAGAAAAGAAATAAGAATAAATAAGAAATAATATGAATAAACAATTTATTTGTATTATTTCATTGAATTATTTCATTATGAATCAAATGAATAAGATAATAGAAATAAGAATAAACAAATAAAGAAATGATAAAATACATCAACATATTTATATTATTATTTCTTATTCTTTAGACACCCCTTTCCAATGCAGGAAATACAACAAAATTTAATGCTCAATACCACATCTATTCTATAAAGTCTTTATGTATTGTAAAGAAAAGCAAACAAATCATAGAAATATAACGTCATACAATAAAAGAACGAATGTCAATAACAATGAATGACATAATAATAATAAAGGTAAACAATATACCAAGAGAAAAGGGATTAGAATACAAAAATACAAATAAAAACAAATAAATACAATAATAATAATAATAATAATAAAAGTTACACAAATAACAAATATAAATGAATAACAAGAAATGATATACAAGAAAGAATAAAAAGAATAACAAGTAAATTGAACAAACGAGAGTATGAAGAAATACTCAAAAAATATGAAGGTAAGAGGAAAAGATGGTATGATATTCTTCAAGAAGTATATTCAATCAAAAAGAATAAGATAAATGAAAGAATCAAAGAAGAAATTAAAGAAAAAAAAAACAAAAGAGATTGAAGAAAAAACATCCAAGCAACAGAAGCAGAAATCAAAAGTAGAAACCCAAATAAAGAAATGAATGAAATATGTAAAGTTGCAAGAATAATAAATAACAAACAAAATATAATGATAATCAGACAAGAAATACAACAAAAGAAAGAAATAGAATTTTAATTGAAGTGATGTATTGTTTTGCAATTAATTGGTTGAATAAGAAATTATATAAGAAAATAAGAAATGAACAAATAGAAAGTATAATAAAAGTAATAAATATCAATGTCAATAATGAAAATGAATTTATTAAATATATTAAAATATCACATAAAATAAAAGAAAGCATTAAACAATACATTAAAGTGAAAGTAAATGATATAATAGAAGAGTAGAGTGTAATTCAATAATAAAAACATCATATTAAAGAATAACTCTACAGAAATTGATGAAGAATACCTTAACACTCTCATCAATAAAGTAAAAGAAATGAAAGTAGAAAAATGTACAAACATTAATTACTACTGGAAAAGAAAAGAAGCTGACCGACTAATAACGGAAATTAATAATAGATGGGTATGGTCAGGAAGCAGAATGCAGGATCTGCAAGACGATATGAAGAGGATTTCAATGGTTATGCACCTCTATCTCCAAAATAAAATAATAGGAGATAAAAATGATGAAATAAAAGAAATCCTAAAGAAAATAAATAGACTAGAAGATCTAGTCAATGAAATTGTACAGAATAAAGTGCATCATGAAATTAAAAGAATATGATGAAGAAGGAATAAAAGTCAAAGCACTAGAAAGAATAAAGTACCTAAAATATATGAAGACAATGATAAAAGAAAGAATTAAATTTAATAAAAATGAAATAATCAGAATCAATACAAATAAAATCATGTTTGATTCTAACAAGAAAATTAGAATAAGGAAGAAAGACCCAAAAAATGAAATATACCCAAATAACGATATTACTTTAGAATAATGGAAATGTTATATGAAACACAGGTGATATTAAATAAAGATAACTGGAAAATAAAACAAATCACCTCATGGAATGAAAGATATATCAATTATGATAATGTCATGATAACATTAAATGAATTAAATTTAAGTATAATGAAAATAAGTAACTGGAAAACATCATGAATAGACACTATATA